GTTTATAAGTGTACGAGGCTAAGAGCTGAGCAAGGCCCATTGGGCCATTGGTAAGGGGCTGCCAATCTAACAACCTCGTTTTATTAGTTCTTATTCATACTTTTTTCTTTTTTAAACCAGTCTTGCCGCTAGGGAGGCAAGACTGAGTCCACTCCTCTCATCAAGCTCAACACCTCTGAGGATCTTAACATTGGGCCTCGCAGCCCTCGCTCCACTACTCTCGAAATGTGGAAAATGGGAGTGAACAAAATCTTCGGCTAGATCATGGAAAGATACATGGCCATGGTTTGTGTCTTTTGTCCATGTTGAGAGTAGTGGAGCCACGCCCATTGTGAAGCATTAACACGAAAAAAAGCTTCAAAAAATTTCGCAGCATTGTACTCACCCTGTGAGGAAAAAAAGTTACCCGTCTGGGAAGCAGTTTGTCTGAGACTCTGAGGGTCATACTCTGATACTCACACTAGGAGTTCACTGGATGCATCTGACCGCTTTAACCACCAAGTGTGGATGCATCTTGGCCACAGATGGACAAATTATGACGTCCGTAGTCCGGAGATGAATGAGGAGAGTGCAAAATTAAATGTCTCTTTTTTGTGTCTACAGCAGGCTTCACCCTGTCACCCAACTCCATAGTACCGTAATTTTTTGCTTTCTGAACCACTGGCCTCATCCTCTGCAGATCCGGGACCAGCAGCCTTTTGTGGGTTCTTTTCAGAAGGTTCGAAATGAGGACAGGCTGAAATTGGGCTTAGACCTGGCTATTCGGGCTGGCCAAGACTTTGGGTCTTCGTCAAATAAGACCCAAAAGGCAGCGGCTATTACAGGGTGGCTAACGAGGATTGACCCAAATACGTCTTTGCAAGAAAAAATCCCTGGACAGGTCGTGCGGCTGAAAATGGCCTTTCAAAGGAAGGGCTTTCCGGTTAAGTTTTTTGCTGAAGTCCTGGCTAATTACGCGGTGGGGAAGGGTCCGATTTGGGACCTGACTGCAAGCCTGATTTGGCGCTTCGCAGTCTGACCTGTTTCCATGGTACGTAGGCTCGATGTGTGTTAGTCGGACATTAGACTAGGATATATTGTGCTAATTTTAGTTGCTTTTCCTCGTTCGCAGCGTAGCTGCTTGGGCTGTCTTCCTCAGCACGCGCTTTGTGTCTGCTGTTGATGACCGCCGCCATTTTGTCTGACGGATCGCATGGTCGTTCTTGCGATTGTCAGTCTGAAGGAGGGGCGGAGAAGGGATGGGACGTATATGATGTTAATACTTCCTTTTGACATCCCGCTACGCGGGTTTCTGTGAGAAGATTCGCTGTGTGTCACACACGTTGACTGTGTGCTTACCGATTGTGTATGTGCACTTTCTTGCCCTGCCCTTGCCCTGATCCTCTGCAACCGAGCAATGTGCTTGTAACAACGTCACAAAAAAAAAAAAAAAAAAAAAAAAAAAAAAAAAAAAAAAAAAAAAAAAAAAAAGAAGCCACATTTGCATGACACCTCTACCAAGGAGTGTGTACACATGAATGTCGATGCCCTGTCCACAGGGCCCCTGCAAGATGGGCAGGAGTGCATGCTCTTGCCATCACTCATATCTGATGTCCCGCCGGGGGGACATTCAAAAATAATAATAATAATAATAATTAAAAAAAAAAGTTAAAAAACAGGATCCGTTTTCCAGTAAACGCCCAAGCTGGGTATTGGCCCCAGTAGTACGGGTTGAGATGTGGAGGGATTCCCGGACTCCTTTTGCTCATATAATGAAACCAGATTATTCCCAAAAAAAAAGGGAAAAAAAAAACATAAAAAAAGGAGGATCCTCAGATACCTGTAATTTCTCTGTAATAACCCTGTTTGTCTCTCTAACTCCCCAACTCTGCTTCCGTGCGTTCATTGAACGCGCGGTTCGCGTTCAGTATCTGAACGCGCATTCATTGAATGCCGCTAAATGCGTTGAACGTGTTTGCGCAGAGCGCAGAGGTGTGGGCGGGGGGCCGTGGGTGTGTGTGTGTGTGTGTGTGAGAGAGAGAGAGAGAGAGAGAGAGAGAGAGAGAGAGAGAGAGAGAGAGAGAGAGAGAGAGAGAGAGCATGCAAAACACACCAATCTTGAAAGAAACGGGCCAGTCCTATTTTGCGCTGCATCCACTATATGGCGCTGCTGCCCCCGATTTTGCCCTTCATTATGAGCAAAGTTGGGGCAGATTCATTCAGCACTGGCCCACACT